ATAATAGTGTAGTTTGAAGTAAATAGGGTAAAGTTTGAGATCTTTATAAAATTTTTTGGCATAGATAGTTTTGTATTTGTAATAAAGAATGAGATGTAAGAGAGCCAAGTTAAGGTCTATTTGTTTTCAATTAGTAGTAGTATATGGTGGAATAAAGCTGTAAGAAGCAAAGATTTTTGGATAATTCAATTAAGTAAATAAAGTTGTAATAAATTCTTAAAGAAGAGAAATAAAAGTGGAATGGATTAATTCAAATGGGATAGATATGAATTTGTCAATTGAAGGATTTACTTTATAAATAAGATCAGTTAAAAATTTAGATCATTTGCCTGCTAAAGTTTTAACTAAATATTTATAATTAAGTTTGGATTCGGAAGTTTTATCAGTTGCTAGTTGGATAATTTTTCCTAAATAGATGTCGATAAGATATGGTTTAATGAAAGTAAGTAGTTGTTGGGCAATAGGGTTGTTAAGTTTAGTATTGTTTTTTATTAAGTCAGTTATAGGATATTCTTTAAACCAGTCGAGATCATTGCTGATATCTTGTTGGTTTTTTTTTTTCTTTTGTTTTTGTTATTTGTTGTTTTTTCTTTTTTTTGAATAAAAGGAAATAAAAAGTTGAATTTTGTCAGTAGATTTCATTTGTCAAAGTTTAATAAGAACAAAAATGATTTGTTGTTTAAGAGTAAAAGGAGGAATTATTTGTTTATGAGAGGTAGAGGAGGAGGTTTGAGTGTTTAAACTGATTAGTTTTGACTTAATTATAGTTGTAGTTATTTGTTGTTAAAATGTTAGAGGTGAAGTTTGTATGAGAGGTTTGAGTTTGATATTTAATAGGCCTGAAGCACAGAGCCTATGTAATAGATTATTTTTAAATATAGTGCAAATAGTATAATCTGGTGCATGGTTGCTTTGTTCAGTCACAACATAAGGGATATTTTTAATTCTATATATAAAGCATATATAGTAATGTTGAGAGTGTGGGATGATAGCAGTTGGAGTAGGATCTACTATAAAGCCAGAGAATAGAATATGAGATTTGGTAGAAGAAATCTCTAATTGTTGTTGTTTAGAATTAGGTGAAGCAGGAAGTTCATCACTAATTTTTTTGAATCGATTTAAAGAAATAGTTGTTGCAGTTTGGGTTGTAGATAGACCAAGGTTGTAGAGTAAGGAATTCTGTAGAATTTAGAACTAAAACTGATATAATATGCTCCACAGAGACACGTAGCAATAGTTGGTTGTAAGAGAACTTTAAAGTAATAATGTTTTTTGACAAAGGCATCACAATTAATTGGATTGACATCTGCAGGAAGTATTCATAGAGATTGAGGTCTTCCTTCAGTTATTCCTACACCATGATGGTCTTTGTATTTGCCATGATAGTAGTCAATATTATAGAAATCCAGATCTTTATTAATAAGGATTGGCATTTTTGTTTAAAAGATGAAAATAAAGTAGATTATTGGAATCTTGGATATGAGATGATCTGAAAGATATATGGACATGACAAATAAAGGGTGTGACAAATAAGGATGTGACAGATAACAGAGTGTGATAAATAAAAAAATGTGACAAATACAGGGTGTGCCAAATAAGTATTACACAAAGTATGTAACACTTGCAGATCTGTAAGTCAAGATTGATGTTAAACAGAAAAGTTGTGTAAAATTAAAAGAATACAAGTTTGTAAACAGTACAGATTGATTCAGATAGTATAATATTGATTAGTAATCCTGTTTGGGTGGGTTTGGATGGAGTAGACTAGAGGCAGCCCCAAAAAAAATTAAAAAATTTTTGTAAAAATAAAATATTAAGTTTTACAAGAGAGTTTAAAAGTATTTTTTGATAAATCGGTCAATTTTAGGCCGTTTTTGATGATTTATATATTAAAATGAAGCTGATAATGAGCTCTTCCAGTTTGTTCTAAGTCACCAGAGCAGTTAACTTATTAAAATTTTGAGATAACTGAATAGAAGCATTTTTTAGTTTATTAAATATATCTCTACTAAAAAGAAACTTAGAGATATAAAACTTGGCTGTTTAAGTATAAATTGTGTTAGAAACAATTTTATTTAGATATCTAGAAGTGGTTTACTTAATAAAATATTGAATAAGAGACAAATGTTTGCAACAGAAATTTGGTACAAGTGATCGTTAGAAAAAGTTAGTGATTTGCATTCTCAATATATTTTGTATATATAAAATATAATTATATATTACTAATAAAAACACAAGCAAAATTATTATTTTAAATAAAAAATTAAATAAAATAAATAATAAAAAATACAAATTAAAAAATAAAAAAAGGTAATAAATAAGAAAAAAAAATATATAAAACTTGCAATTCACAAATATCAAATAGTTATAATTATAAGCTTGTATTAGGTTTTTTAAAAAATATAAACTATATTAAATAAAAATAATTTTATTATTTTTTATTTATTTAGATCATTTAATAAAAAATTATATACAAAATACAAATTAAAAAATAAAAAAAGGTAATAAATAAGAAAAAAAAATATATAAAACTTGCAATTCACAAATATCAAATAGTTATAATTATAAGCTTGTATTAGGTTTTTTAAAAAATATAAACTATATTAAATAAAAATAATTTTATTATTTTTTATTTATTTAGATCATTTAATAAAAAATTATGTAAAAAGAAAAAACTTTGACTCAGTTATAAAAAATTAATATAAAATACTAATTAGACCAAAACCAGTATTAACAGATTTTTAGTAACTCAAGACATATGTATAATTATGTTTGTATTACTGTATTCTTTTTGATTTATATTATTAATAAACTTATTTAAAAAGTAAATACTGCTAACTGTTTTGATGATTTTATATATCAATCTTTAAGAGAAATAAACTAAAATTGTTCATTTTTTATAAAATGTTTTCAGAAAAAAATAAAGATAAAAGGTTAACTAATTTTGTAGTTTTTATGAGTTCTTGATCTTTTTAGATATTTCTTATAAGTTTTATAGTTATATAGAACTAATAATCAAACTTTGTTATTTACTTGATAAAAACTTTTAGTTTTTACTAGCTACTTCTTCTATAGTTTCAAAGTGCTTTTAAACTATTATCACAAAACTGCAATTTTTTTTCAACTCTATTTCAATGTTTAATTATACATGTCAAGTACTCCAAAAAGAGTTTTATAAAGTTTAATATATTAATTATATCATTTTTCTGTAGTTTAACTTTTTAAAAAGTTTGATTCAAATGATTATTAAAAAGAATCATGTTAAATATTTTTTTATTAACCTAGTAAATTATTTAAAATAATGTATCTTATTTCTTAATTTGCAAATAATACATATTAATTAATAATTAATAAATTGAAAATGATGCAGAATATATATATTGTGAGGTATTTGATTAACTAATTATAACAAAAATCAATATAATCTCTAACTAATCTAACTAGTACAGTTTTTTTAAATTTAATCATATTATTAAATAAAACAATTTTTTAATAGAAATTTACTATACAAAAATGATAAAATTTTAAAATCTAGCTCTTCACTCTTTATTAATTTTTGAGTTTGAAAGCAACATAAAATAGATTAAAAAATAGTGCCTTTTAATTTGAAGTTTTTTTCTGGTACTTAAATAAATTTTTTTTCTAGTATTTTATGGCTATTCATATAACATAAAAATTACAAATTCATAAATAACTTGCTTTTAACTTAAATACTAAAAATTTAATATGAGAGCTCAAAGTACTAGTTATAATGTATTAAATAACGTGTTTATTTTTTAAAAGGTTGAATATTTATTGAGGGATGCAATTTTTTTAAAAAAAAATTTAGAATATGCCGGGTGCCACACTAATAACTAGCAAGTAAATATATACATACGCACTATTGATTGTGCAAGTTTCACTATCACAAGTAATAACCACTAAAATGATAGAATGTGCACAGATTAATTTTCGAACAATATATAATTAATTAGCCAATTATATCACTTAATAATCTTTATTATATAAATCTAATAATGAGGGTCTACAAATAGTCTTAATTTAAATCAATTGACCAAACACCCCAGCGTATATATATATATGCATATATATATAAAGAATAAGTAGCTGCGCAACGTTGTCGCGCGAAACCAGAAACGGGAAAATCTACACAGGCACCATTTCAGTCACGGGAAACCATATTCTTCATTGCAATCCATTCTTGGTATAAGAAAATGACTCTTTATAAAAGAAGTTGATAGCACTTGCAATCTGAATATTGGTTTGAATTTCAGCAGTTCCGATGAATCTGACCCAAAAATTCTGGGGCCTTGCAAAAAACATTAAAAATCTACGAAACATATCTGTATTTAAAAATGATCGACAAATTCTTTTAAGTCTTTGACGATCAGTGATTATCATTTATCTGCCCGATAAAAAATTCGAAAATTACCAAATATTTAGCATTGAATCATTTAATTTATATTGGGATACTAATTTTTGTGCCTAAAAAACTTATTTTTACTATCGTTTGTTATAGCATCTTCGATTTTACAGATGCATGCACTCATTTATGTTTTTTTTTTTAAATAATATTGAATCATCAATAAGTCACGCGGACCAATCAATTCCAAGATTTTGCGTACAAAGGCATTTGTTCTTGGTACCTACCTTTTAATGTATTGTTCAGGGTGCTACACAAAGTCACGATGACAGATTACCCAATCATATGCTGAGAATTGTACATGCATATTTAACTTGCCTGTAAACCATACCGATACACTACGTTGTACGTTGTACAAACTCCGTTTCTGGTATAAATTTCATACGCAATATTTTTTTTACAATAATGTGTTGCTCAATTGCGTAAAAAATACCTTTACATCTTTCTGTTTTTTCATCCAATCAATTAGAGGGACTGTAAATACTATATAATCGGTCCTCATAGGATGGAACGGACCGGACCAGACTGCTGCATCCCCATAAAATATGATGCAGTAAAAAATTAATTTTGGCTTATGTTAGACGATAGAAAAATTTAGATTTATTTTTTTAAAATTTAATACCCTAGTTAAAACACGTTTAGAACCAAGTGAAACCACAAGTACTCCTCCCAAATACCCTTCCCCCTTCATTACTTCAATTTTATCGTCATAAATTCCTGATCCATCATACTTATTAACACTACCCTTCTGCACCGTTTTCATATACCTACGAAGTTGTTCCATTCCATTGTGAATTAACCCCCTCACTAATACTTGCTCATATTTCTTTTTTTCCTTACACCAATATAAGTATTTTCTATTTAATAGTTCGTCTTCAGCTTCTTCTTCGATCTTATCATCTAAGGCCTTTAATGATTTGTAGTCTGCTTTTTCAGCCCACTTTTCTTTTTCCCCACTTAAAAGACCTACCAAAGAAATATATTTTAACTCCATAATTATGCTCGACTTCATTCTGTCTTCATTCACTCCATTAACAAAAATGTCAATAAATCCGAAGCGACCTGCGCCTGAACTTTTCGACCCATCAACTACAAGACGCACTTCAGGTTGGCGATGTTTGGTTGGAAGTAGCAATTCAATTGCCGTTTGAAATGCAGCTTCATTATAATCTTTAAACTCTCTAAAAGATTTGGATTTATGGTAATTTAAAATTAGGTCAGCAAATGGTAAGATGTTGCCCTTCAACATTGATTTATATGCGAGATATTTATCAACAGGGTTATCATCTACGATGCCTAACTATTTGAAAAAAATAAATTAAGTTAGAAATTGATCAAAAAATAATAGCTAGGTATATCAAGTTCTGTCTATTTCAGTTCCTCTCGTTAGGATATACCGGCTTTCTAAAAAAAGGTAAGGATGATCAGATACATACTACTGGGACGTGGCCAGAAAATATGCACCGATTCGGCTAACTTTTGAGGACGTAGCTCCCCTTGTTAAAATCTGAGAAAATAGTCAAATAAATTTCCAGAACGTGGCCAGCAAATGTGTTCAATATAGTTTAACAAGGAGTAGCCTCATCCTAACCCCAAATGCTATGACAGTCCGATAAAAGCAAACATACGCAGGATTCTCTACTCATATGACGAGGACCGATCCTCACCTTCGCTGGGATAGATAAAACATATCTATACTCAGAAAAGGGTAGCCTGACGTAAGCAAGCCCCATCAATAGCAAACATTTCAAGATATCCGGTAATTCATCATCATCTTAATAGGTGTGCTTTGATGAGAAAAAAACATATTCTAACCTTTTTATCCAAAACTGACACTATTTCTTTGATCTCTTTTAAGGTCCTAGGGTCTTCTTTTATTTTTCGAATTATTTTAAAAAAAGATCGAGTATAAACTTCTTTTTTCGGTACAGTATAATTTTGCAAAACCCATCGTTCAAAATGATTGAATGACCACTCTTCGAAAGGAATGATGTAAAAATATCTGGAGTATATCCATTTAAAGTGTTTTACATCTTGAATTACGGGAATTATTTTTTCATTTGGAAGCTTTCCTACAAAGAAGAGAGTTAAAAATATTATATAACAAGCTAACAGTACATCGAATGTATACATACTAGTGTTAATTTCCGTTATCAAATTTGAAAGCGTTACAACAGGGCCAACCTTTAGCTTACATCGCAGTAGGTCTTTTTTATTTAGTAAAGGAAAACTTGAACCCGAAATTTTTTGATTTCTCAGAAGTAAGAAATCTTCTTCATCGAGATTTATTTCTTGACTTCTCAAAAAGTCTAGTAATTTATCAGTATTCCATTGTTTGATGATATCAAGTAAACTTTTAGGCATTTATTAATGATAGTGCTTAAAACAAAAAAGTATAAAATACAAGCTACTCACTTTTTATTACGCGACTTTTATACGCGTCTTGTAATACAGAGATGCAGGAGTATATATTATCATGTGAGTGTGACCTTGGAAGTTACAGGCAGGTTACTTATTAATTTATTCGAGAATTATCACATGTTTTGCAATATATGTGCATTTGTCGCCAACTTTACATCCATGCTTCCACTTCTAAAGATATGTCACTTTTCTAAGTAATTTCGGTTTTCTTTATTTGTGAGTGATCTTTCATCATTATATATAAATAGAAAAAAATAAATATATACATAACCAGATTTTTTTTATTATATACGTAATAATATAAACCTGTAATGTGTTTTATGTACAAAAATTCTCGGCACTGTGATGGCTCATGCTGAGTTAATAGCATTTGATTGACCAAAATTTACAAAAAGCATTTATTTAGAAAAACCTATTACAAAATGCTTTAAATTACATGCGCATTTAGGCCAGAGAAGGTTCGGTCCGGAGTTGATTTCACCAGAAAATGAAGTCAGGAATAAATATGTGGCATGACCGAAATTGTATTACAGAAACTGGCACTTTGTGCCTGTACACCGTCCCACAAATAAATTTATACGTAGAGGCATATAACAGGTTGTACATTACGTGTCTTAAATAAATTTTGCATAATCCTTGTAAGGCTGAGACCCCTGCAGAATTTCTTTAGCACAATTTATTCTGACACATGTTAACTGTTAAGTTATATGGAAAAACAGAAAAGAAAAGCATTATTCAAACGCAAAAGATTTATTGTGTTATATTTCAGTATTTATTTTTAACAAGAGTGTGAGGTGCAGTAAATTTCACTTTAAGTATGAAGCGTTTTATTCTAACGAATATCGATATTGACAGCTCTAACGGCAATCGGATACGTCGTGTAACCTACGAGTCGGCTAAGTCGATAAGAGGCGTGTTATATTTGGCGAGTTGGGTATTTATGAGCGTAGGTATTATAATGCAGCGAAAACAGGGAATTTTATTAGGGGACAAATTTTATTATAAACGTAGGGCTCGAAGCCTTTATTATATAATGTTTTATTACTTATGCCTTCCTAAATGTATTAAACATATCATCCGTAATGTACCCCTTTAATTTCCTATATTACTTAAAGCCCTTAATTATTATACGTATACCTCTTTAATTATAGATCTTCCTTATTACCTTATTACCCTTATATCCACTAATAATCTTAAACAACTTTCACGCTTTAATCCCGGGAAACCCATTTTAGCGTCTGCGCTAATTTTATTTGTACCCCAAAATTTAAAGGGTATTGACCGACCAGTTGGGGTCAGATGATCATTTGATGGATATTATTACGTACAAAAAATTCGAGGTTGTACACGGGTTGGGTTCCCCTAACAAAATAAAATAATGTACGGATAACCGTAACAGGAGGAAACGTTGATGTTACACAATTTATTTTACATACGGTGTGAAACACATAAAAAAAATATTTTACAATACTTGATCAGTCCTAGTAGATGTTATGATTGTAATCCAACAACATTTTTATTATAATAAAAATGTTGTTGGATTATAATCATAACATCTACTAGCGATTGTTCAAGTATTATAAAATAATTTTTTTATGTGTTTCACACTGTGTGTAAAATCCTCCTGTTGATAACCGTACAATAACCTTAACTTCTAAAAACCCGTTCGAACATGTCACCAACTTGTATCATCCAATTTTGTTCACGGTAATTCGACCTACGATTTCCAGATCAATCATGTAACCCGAATATCAAATGGATTGACAACCTTAAAGTGCACGGTGTATCAACATTCACCTATATAATATTGTTATAGAACTTCATTTCATGCTGTAATAGAGCAGATATACATGTCAACCTTAACATCAATATAATTTTTATTATTGTATAGCACAACTTATATAATTATCCTTATAGTTTAAATCTAAGAAATATGTGATTAAAAATAGATCATAGGCAATAATAATGGTTTGAGTTATCTTAATAATAGCTTTATATAATTGATTAATGGAAAGGAAACATAATTTCCTAATCACAGTATTCAAATAATAAACTCAATTCATTTGATTGGTTACTTTTATTTTATTTATTTTTTAACTTAAGCAGTTACATTAGTACTTTATTAAGATTTTTGAAATTACTTTTGCAATTACATATATTTACCTAACTACTAAGTTTAGCATTACCTGGTCACCCATAGAGTACCTAAGTGCAATCTGCTGCACTACTTCAAACAGAAATAAGCTACTTGTCTGATTACTTAAAGTCTATAGTGAAAGGGTCTTCTCTCTTCCACAACAAGCCCTAATATTGTTTTTCTAATTTTTTCATTAATTCTATCCTTTTTCTCTTTTGCTTGTTTCTTCTCTTCTTCAATTTTTTGCTGATTTGCTTTTTCTTTCTTCTTTGAATTTTTTTTCTTTAGTTTCTTTTTCTTCATTTTAGTTGTTATGTTTTTTTTCTTCTCCTATTCATTAATTTTTTCATATCATATCTTTTACACTTGTTCATAGAACATGTCCCATGCTGTCTTTATCATCATCTCTACAAATTGCTGTCTTGTCTTTGTATTTAGGAGCTGTATTAGTCTGTCTTGTGTTTTTTTCAGAATTAATCCTTTGATTAAAGCTTCTCTCATCTCTATTTCTTCTGCTTTACTTTTTTTGAAGAATATTATATATAATACATATAGTAGAATATGAGTTTTTTCTTCTGTTTTCAACCTTTTTCAGGTTATTGTAATAATTACTTTTTGGATTTATTTCCAAAGGTTCTGTGTTCTTTGCATGATGTTAAATGTAACTGTATTTCTTTAACTTTATCTTAACATACTTGATACTTCATTGTTATATATACATTTGGTCTTTTTCTATTAAGTTCTTCTAGAATTGAAGTTTATTTATCATATATTTTATAAATGTGCATCTTTTTGTATTATTTTTTCTTATAGTGCAATGCACTCCTTTAGTTGTTTTTAGTTTTCTTCAAAATTGTATCCAGTTATGAATCATAATCTTTGTTTTTGGTTTTAATTTTCTGATTATATTTGTTTCTTTCTATTCTGCTCCTAATCTTATATTTGTTATTATTTTGCATAACAATCTTGCTAGTATATCAGTTCATTTATTTTCTCATTCTAGACAGTATTCTATCTCTTTACAACTGACTTTCTCTACTTGTATTACTTTATTACTTATTATTCTCTTTTTTGCAAGACTATCAGCTTTGTCATTCAATTTGTTCTTGCTATAATCTTTAACTTTTACTAACTTTATCTATATACTCTTTATATTAATCAGATCTATAATCTTCATTATTTATATCATATTTTTTTTCTTAAGAATTTTCATTCTATCTATTTGCTCTAAATTTCTACTAATATTTCTTATTGCAGCATTACTGTCTGTATATATTTCTATTTGTCTTTTTTTCAGTATTGTTAGGATTGCTGCCAATATTGCTACTAATTCTGTTATTGTTGATGTTGTTCATCCTTCTAGTCCTAATGATGTTTCTTCTTCTGATCATTCATGTGTTTTATTTGTTTGAATCCATTCTATACATATGCTTCTGCCTCGTGTTTCTTCTTTGATCTTTATATTTGTAGCATCATCCATATATATAATGTATTTGCCTTTGTTTCTCGATATATTTCTTCTTAGTGTCTTTAGAATTTCTTATTTGACATTCTTATTTTACATTCTCATTTAGTTTCTGTTACTTAATTATTTCTATTTCTAACTCTTTTATTATCATTAGTCCTTCAAGTTTCTGTTCATTGTTTTTTAATCTTTCTGTTTCTATTTTTTCTATCAACTGGTCTATAGTTATTTTAATCTTACTATTTCTCTTTTTCATCAATGCATCAAGGATTACTCTGATCTTGTTGTTTATTCTTATCCATTACCAGCAACTGCCTTCTTTTTGTTCTTCTTCTTTTTCTGTATATCCATTATATCTGCTGATTCTTATTGCTATTTCATTCTCATCATTTTGCATTTATCAATGTTCTAATAAGATCTTTTTCTTCTTTATTATCTTTTCTAATTGGCTATCATCTTATATACTGTATATTATCTATTCTTTTTTTCTTTTATCTTTTGATATGATTTTCTATACCATTTTCATTTCTTGTGTATTATATCTGTTTGTCTTAAAGTGTTCTTTAATTTTACTATTTGTTGGCTCTTCAAATACTATAGACTCTATTTTTTTAAACCATTCTGCTTTTTTGTCTTTACTTGAATGTCCACCAAAGTTTTTAAATTGTTGCCATATAATTAGCTTTTCACCTTTTATATTGAGCAGTTGGTTTAGGTAGATTATGCCTGCTTCATTTATCTCTATTTCACTTTTTTTTTACAGCTATGTTTCTAATAGTTCTCATATTTTAGTATCGAATTCAAATATTCTTCATAAGCTACTTTTCATTCTTATGCTTATTTCTAGCTCTCTTGCTTTTATTATTGTCAAACATACTAAGTTGTTCTTCCAACATATTTTGTTAACTAGTATTTCTTCTAATTTCCAAACATCTTCTATCAACCCTGCTTTTTGACAACTTTGTAATATTCTTAGCTTCATTAACTGACCTAGACTATCTTGTATGTTTAATCTTGACAGTAAGTCACTTACTTGCTTAATTACTAGCTCTTGTTGTAGTGTTCTACACTCACTAAGATCTTTATATTCTATTATACAATTTTCCAATGTTCTTTACAGATTATTTTTTTGCTTTGCTAGATATATTATTGGTTAATGTATTTCATGTATTCTTTTTTCTGAGATTTTAGTCAACTAAAGCATGTAGTTTAGTTTTGGAATTATTACTATATTGTTTATATATATAATCTGGCTTGTTGTTATCTTTTTGTATTTGAGGTCTTTTATCATCCGACTAACTATTTCTTTAGCTTTTCTTTTAACTAATACTTCTCGCATTC